GATTGGACAGTAGCTGAGTAATGCTCCCTAAGCCTCCCCCATGCCATGTGGGTTGACAGTTTCCACATGTCCCTGTTGCACTTGTTTATGAGATTTACCTTGGGGCTCGTACAGTCTTATCTCCATACAGTCCTGTGATAGCTCTTAGCTCCCCTTGGAATGCCTTGAGCAAGCCTCCCACTTCCTGCTACCCTGAGTTTGACAACTCTCTGTTCTGTGGCCAGTCCCTGCAGCTGGCTCCCTCTGGCCACCTTGTTGGCCTAACGCTTTGCCCCTCCTTTCCTCCATCTGGCCTCGGACAGCAAACTCTGTCCCTTCAATGGCCCATGTTCTTATTGGATTTCTTCCAGTCTGCTGACATCTTGTTAGAGAGGAGAAACAAGTGCTGTGGATGCTTCTGTCTTTCCTAACAAGTCTGTTTAGCAGTCACTGGGCTGGAGGCCGGCTGCCTGGGGATCTCAGAACACCTTACATGCAATACGAGGTATCAAGGACAGATGGAGAGAAATCCAAGCATAAGGTGAAACTCCACATACCTTGTGAAATATGAACCTCCTGTCCCACAACCCCAGGCCACAGGGCCCCGTTCTGCCTGTGAATGGTCAGCAATTAAGGTTGCGAGGTTAGGCCAGGAAAGAGCCCTGGAGTTAGAAGAGCTGGGGCAGCACAAAAATGGGCCACATGGCATGTTCCCCAAATAGTAAAACCGCTTTGGTCATGGAAGAATAGTGGGGGCAGGGTGTCCCAGCTCTCCCGGAAATAGCTGTGTGACCCTGGCCAAATCACTTTGGCCTTCTTGAACTTAGCATTTTCTGAAAAATAAGAGAAATCAGAAACTGCTGTGCCAGGGGATCAAAGAAGATGAAGCATAGCAAAACTCTGTGAACGGTAACGAACACTATTATGAGGCAGAAAGGGGGACACGGCCAAGTCCCAGACGAACCAAGGCCTTAACACAGTGTACTGGTCTCCACACTGACCTGTCCAAAGCAGAGAAAACACACCCATGATTGGAACCGCAAGAGCTTCAGGGATGAGCATTATCTGCTGTGAGGTGGGGCAGTGGGAGCTGGAGGTGCTGTGATGATCCACTGCGGGGACAGGTGGGCAGCATCGGGCTAATGGGTGCGGAGGAAGAGTCCCACAAACTTGGCACACACCTGTTCACTAGGTTCTTCATTTGACAAATAGGCATTGAGCATCTACTGTGTTCTGGAGCTAGACATTCAGATTCCCTGATCCGATGGCAGACACAAACACAAAGCAGTGTGTGACTAAAGTCACAGCCCCTCCCCAGCCCAAGGGGCCCAGACGAGTTCTCAGGCTGTGGCAGTACAGGGGCTCCCACGTGGCTGTGCCCACTTTCCTTCCATGAGCAGCAGCGTTTTGCTGAGGGAACATGCGAGTGGCCTGTTTCTGTGTCACCTCAGCAAAGGAAGAAGTGAGCTCCCTGCCCCTGACAAAGCCATCAAGGCCCATTATTATTTCATTATTATTTTTTTATTCTCCCACTCTCATTCCCCTTTGTCCATCAGCAGCCATAATGTGTATTTTTTTCATATGTGTTCTTGAAAATGTGAATTGCTGATCTGTATGCTTGTATTTTAAATATATGTAAACAGTATTGTTATACAGCTCATGTATGGGTTTGGGAGGTTGGATCTTTCATTCAGAGCCGTGCTGAGTTTCTCCCAGTGGCCATGTGTCACTGTGGTAGTCGGTCCATTGTTTTCTTTTTCTTTTTTTTTTTGAGACAGAGCCTCAAGCTGTCCCCCTGGGTAGAGTGCCATGGCTTCACTGCTCACAGCAACCTCCAACTCCTGGGCTCAAGCGAGTCTCCTGCCTCAGCCTCCCAAGTAGCTGGGACCACAGGCACCCACCACAACACCCGGCTATTTTTTGATTGCAGCCATTATTGTTGTTTGGCAGGTCCGGGCTGGATTCGAACCCGCCACCTTAGGTATATGTGGCTGGTGCCTTAGCCACTTGAGCCACAGGTACCAAGCCCATTGTTTTCAATAGTTGCATTGTCCCCGTGGTTGGCACCTACCTGATTTTACCTTTCCACTCCCCAGTGATTGTCTCTGAGGTTATCTCCAACTCTCTGCCACCATAAACAAACATGTATAGTAATAAACATCTTTGTACATGACCCCTTCTGGCTGTGTTGAGAAATTGGGGGGGACATAGACCCAGGCGCGGAACTGCTGTTTCATGGGGGCAGATATACTTGCTGTGGCTAAGTGGGGCCAGGTCACTCCCTCAATGCCTGCGCTAGCTCCACCCCACCGCCAGTGCTCCTGTATTCCCGCACCTGCACCAATACTTAGCATCATCCTGCTTCTGATTTTTGTCAATCCAGGAGGCAAACAGTGATAGCTCATTGAGGTTTCGGTTAGTATTTCTCAGACTACTATTGAGTTTGTGCATGTCTTCATTTTCTTGTTAGCCTTTAGGTGCCCCCTTTCATAAACCACTTCATCTATTACCCATATTACATGAGGTTCTTGGGGTTTTTCTTGATTTTCAAGAGTTCCTTGTAACTCCTAGAGACCCCCCCTTCTCAAACAGCACACACCTGTGCTGCTGTAGTTACCTATCTGGGGCAAAATCACCCGTGTGGTCACCAACTCTTCCAACCTCCAACCGGGGAGACAGGGCTTGGTAATGGGTTACACACGATCCAAGTAAAGGAATCTCTGCCAGAATCGCCTGAGGATTGTAGTCTAGGAAGACAGGTAATGGGGGAAAAAACTGCTCCTCTTCTCTGGGGCTGCTTACCTGCTGTGTCAATTTCATGAGTTAATAAATGATTGGAGAGAGCTTAATTTCATCAGAAGAAATTGAGATCAGCCAGTGCTTAGGCCCCACTCAATTAACTCGTGCTCCTAAGGGGGCCGATCAAGGAGCAGGGGGGCAGTCGGTGGTTAATTACATGTGCTGGGGCCAGCGACAGCTGGTGGTTCCTGCTGGCCTTCATCCAGGCGTGAGGCGAGGTGACCCTGCGGCAGTGAGGCTGATGCCACTAAGGACAGGGGGCCGCGGATCATTTTTCTATAAATAACTGATATATTAAAGAAGCATATTGCATGACTTGTGCTCAGAAAGCAACTTTAATTTTTCTCTTCCCTTTCCTTTCAAAGTGTTTTCAGTGGAAAAAATCTTTCTCTCCCTGAACAAAAAGCCGTGGGCCTATGCCATTGCATTTTCGTCCACTCTTAAGTGACAGGTTGCTTCATTACGCAGTCTCAGCTCAGAAGTGAGAATACGCAATAAAGAGTAATAATCAAAACACTCCCAGTTTAACAGTGTGCGTCTTTTCCTTTCCTCCAATTTGGATATGCTCAGGCTGATAGTGGTTGGGAAGGTGGGCCACACAGGCCCCTCTGCCACCTCCACTGCCCCGCCTCCTCCCCCTACAACCATGCCCAGTAGCTGTTGTTTCATTTCTTGCCAGGATTGAAAGCAGCAGTTCTTGCTAGTTAGAGAGCTTGGAGAAGCTTAATACTGGCTTTTGCTCTCGTGAATGTTTTTGAGGGCTCGCATAGGGTTCCCTCACTCCAGACAAACCACATCTCTGTTTCAAGGGTCTCCTGCAGCCCCTTGCTCAGCCCCTGAGCATCTGGAGACCATCTCCAGCCTCTTCAGCTGAGGTCTGGCCACTACTGGCACTCAGAGACGCAAGGACAGGGAGCCCCATGTCCTTCCTCCTCCCTTGGGATGAGCAGCTCAGCAGTAGCTCTTGCCACAGAAATCTTCCTTACCCAACCTCCACCAAATTACTGCCCCATCTGTATCCCATAAAGTCGGGGAAAGCATCTGTCACAGGTCCTGGGACAGATGTTCTCACGCTGTAGAGACTGCATGCCGCCAGGGCAGAGGGACCTGGCCCAAGCCTACTTTTCTGACTTCTCTTTGGGCATATCAGTCCAAACTTATATAGAAGAGCCTCACTCTAACCCCCAGGCACGTGCAACTTGCAGTTCAAAGGTAAGGAGAACATCTTTGAGAAAAGAAAGCCTGACTGAACAGAATGCTCAGGATGGGAGCTGGAAGACAGCATACAGCCCCGATCCAGAAGGGAGGCGGATGTGGAGACAGGGCTGCTCTGTCCTGCAGTCAGTCTGCCGCCTTCTCGACTTCTCCCAGAGCTCTGCCCCTGAGACCTCCTGGACTCCGACGAGCGCCACTCCTTCACACACGCAAATGTCTGTCCCTTAAAACCAGCTCCTGGCTGAGGCCAAGAACCTAGAGGTGGTCAGCCCTGTCCCCTTGGCATGTGGCTCTGTGGATGTGGTTAATGGTTGGGTCTCCTCCCCAACACAATCACGCACCCTGGAGGCCTCCCCTCCTCAGGACCACTGGGCCGAGGCTGAGTATCACCACGGATGGCCTTGCTCTCCCTCCCCTCCCCAGCATAGGGCCTAAACTCTTCTAAATAATGTGGGGTGAGTACTTTAGGCATTTAAAAAGATCCCAAATAATTAGCCTATACTGAGTTCCTAGATGTCTCAGGAGGTTCCTGCCTCTTCCTCCTCCCTCAGCACATCAGCCTGAACTTGTTTATCCTCCTGTCCTGTTGATATGTTTGTTCTGGTGGAAGTCGGGATATCAGAGTGGGAGAAAGGAGTGTGCAGCACCAGACACTGGAAATAATGGCAAGTCCAGGGAAGAGCGGGGAAGGGAATGGGTGAGAGACAGATGGATCAGTCATGCAGCCCCCAGGATATCTCACCTGCAGGACAGATCTGAATTCTGAATTCTTCAGTGGAGCCTTGCTTCCCCCACGGCAGCACTGAAAGAAGGAGGCAAGGAAATGAGAACACGTGACCCTAGAGATCTGTCCTCATGTTCTCAGGCTGGGGGCCTCAGAAGCCAAGGCAGCGGTCAGGAAGCAAACCCCCAGAGTCACAGGGTCACACCTGTGCCAGCATGAGCCTGTCTGCCCCCTCAGCCTCCCTGTCCAGGCCTCACTGATCCTCCCCCTCTCTTCTCTGGCAGGGTCTGATGCCCTTGGCCATGATGCACCCCGACTTCTGTCTGTTCAGGCGCAGCCTGTGTGACTGAGCCACTGCTGCTCCAGCTGTTTCACGTAAGTATAAGGCACAGGCCAATCCTTTTCCCCCAGAAGAGAGTGTGTAAGGCACTGGGTGGGTAAGAAGCTTCAGAAAAGCCTGGTCACAGAGGGCAGGCCCTTGGGACTCTTTAGGGGACATCAGGTTTGTCATTTTTGTTTGCTCCCAGCCTCTAGGTTGGCCACCACTAAATCATTCTGTCTCAGATCTGCTAGGACCTGGGTAGGAACACAGAGGCTTTCTCCTGCTCAAGAGGCAGCTGGTATGATGGAGACTCCATAGCATTGGCCCTTATATCCAGACTTCTCCTCCTACTATAGGAGCCCCATTTTGGGGGAGTGGAGGGAAGTATATTAGTTATCTTTTGCTGTGTAATAAACTACTATAAACTTAGCAGTTTAAAACAACACACATTGATTATCTTGGCATTTCTGTGGGTCAGGAATCAGGCATGGCTGGTTAGGTCCCCTGCCTTAGAGTCTCAGCTGGGGCTACAGTTTCATCTGAAAGCTCAACCAGAGAAGGATCTACTGTCCTTTATGCGATTGTTCAGTTCCTGTTGAGCAGCTGGGTTGAGGACCTCAGACCTTAGATGGCAGTTAGCCAGAAGACACCTTCAGTTCTGTGGCACGTGGGCCTGCCACACATGGCCACTTGCTTCATCAAAATCAGCAAGGGGGAGCATTGGCTAGCAAGAGAGAAGTCAGAATCTTACATAATCCACTCACAGAAGTGACATCCTTTACTGTATTCTATTGTTTAGAAGGAAATCACAGGTCACACCCATGCTCAGGGGTGGGGGTACATAGGGCACAACTGCCAGAAGGGAGGGAACATTTGGGGCCATCTCAGAGCCTGCTCACCATAGAAGGGAATGTAAATGGAGCACTTTGCAAATGTAGGGTGCTGCTCAAGGGGCAGGCAGGTATTGTCAGCATTTATACAGGCACAAAGAGAAAATGAGCCCACCTGAAATAACCAAGAGTCACTAAGTGTAGGAATTGAAATACCAAATTGTACCATTAGTATTAGGCCCTTGGTGAAACAGGTTGTGAACTGGTTAGTTCATTTCACGCCCTTTACACGTGCCTTTCCAGCTTAGGATTTTAAGGCCAGACTTAAACAGCCACAAAATGTCTGCCTGCCTTTCCCCCACAAATTACCAGGTTTATAAGGTTTTTTTAGAGTATGCAAGGAATTCACCCATACATTGTAGTTCTTCCTTGCAATCATACTTAATAACTCTGAGGCAGAAAGTTGATACTTCATTATGATGCCTCACAATCTTATCCCTGGGAGAGAAAAGTGAGAGGTGTGTGAGAGCTGAGATTCTTCATTAATCTTTACTTTGTAAAATTTCTAAGATGAGTGACTGCTAAGTGGCACAGTTGGGCCTCCAACCTGGGCCTTCAGCCGCCTGGCTCTGCCTGCACTGCCATGCCCCCCCCATTTCTGGACCACCACTGCTGCACAGCCTCTGTGGTTCTGGAATAGGGAGGCTGGGCACAGAGGTCAGTGAAGAGGAGGGTGCTGTTCTTCTATAGCTTCTCGATGATTCCCTGCCACCGCCCTCCTGGGCACATCCTGGGGGAGTAAGCCAAGCTTTTCTAGAGTGGATCCCTGCTGCCTTCCCTCAAGGCCACCCAGTAAGCCTCTGTCTCCTAAGCAGCCCTCACAGTGAGTGTGCTGGGAAGCAGGGGACGTGTTGTAGTGAAAGTGCATAAATCCTCCCCAGGCTGAAATTCTTCTGCACCTCACCAGATGCCCCAGGGAACCCCTGAGCATGGCCCACCATGCACCTGGGCAAAGTCAAGCTGGTCTTAAATAGTGATGCTGAGATCTGCAGATGGGATTGAACTGAGAGGTGCTACTTTCTGCCCCCTGGTGGTACATCAGAGTCATAACTGCCAGGCCTATGCCTAGCCGCCCTGCTAAACGATGAGATGGTTACCAAACCTGTATTAAGTACCTGCTATGTGCCAGGCATGATGTATAATGCTGCAGGGGGATAGAAAACAGTATGTGGGTCATTGCAAAAGTTTTGAGATACACAAAAATCAAGAAACATAAAACCCACATGGATGGAAACAAATGAAGCCCCCCAGCAACACCAATAAGCTGAGCAATTTGAAACTTGTCTGGATGAATCAGGGACAGCATTGTCAACTGTGTTTCTTGGAAGTGAAATAGTGACCCATAACACAGTCTGTCTCAAAACTTTCACAGTGATTCATGTGTAAGACACAATCCCTGATCCCAAAAGACTTACAGTTTAATGGAAGAGACAAGATTTTTCCACGTGAAAAGTTCACTTCTATCTCAGTAAGATAAGAGTTTGGTAAATGGAACGGGGAAAGATGTTATAGTAGAAGCACAGACATGAGAACTCATCAGGGATGGGCAGTCAGGAAAGGCACTCGGAGCTTTCACGGAAGGGCAGGACTTAAACAGACAGAAAGATCATGACCTTCCCTACTGAAAGCCCGTGAGGAACCCCTGCCATCTCCAAGAGAGTGAAGTCCCAGTTCTGCACTGGACTTACAGCCTCTCCAGCCTCATGCCTACCCTGGGCCTATCCCAGGCTATCCAAATTCCTTACAGTTTCTAGAATGCCCTAGCTCTGTCCCCAGGTTCTTCACACCCTGGTCTGTTCGTTACGCTCTTTCTACCTTGTCTTCTGGACAAGCTCTCACTCAGCTTCTAGGATTCAGTTCAGACATAATATCTCCTATGGAGTATCTATCCCTGAGAATTAGTTGGGCCACCTCTGTTCCCACAGCCTTGGTCTGTTGCCCGCCTCACACAGTCCCATGAGGTGTATTAAGTGTCTTCTCATCACTAGGCTATAAGCTTCTTAAGAACTAGAGCAGCCTGGCAGGGCAGAGGGTTCATTAGGGGGAACGGCCGGGGTGGTGGTAGTAAGCAGGTGGTGAGCTGCAGGGAACAGGGAGGGCAAAGCTTTTGCAGCTCCAGCATGCAGGGGTGTCCAGCCTGGGCCCATGGGCTGCATGCAGATTATCTGAGGTTTGTTTTGCTCACCTGCAGTGTCAGATACCATGAAAATTGTACATGGGTCTTTTATTTTCTCATCAGCTTTCATTAGGGTTTATGTATTAAATGTTTGACCCAAGGCAGCCCTTACTCTTCCAATGTGCGGCAGAGAAGAAAAAGGGTTGGACACCTAAGGAAGGTTTGTGTCCAAATGCATCTGGTAGCCAGTGTGGTGCCCTGGAGTCACAGAGGGGCACAGGGCTGTGACGAGAGGCTCAACTGCTGGCTCTAGGAAGGTGCTCAGAGGCAAAACCAGGGAGGTTGGTTAGGAAACCCTGGCACCTGGGTAGGCTTAAGAGGTGAAGAGTCTTCACTGGTGTGAGGAACAGAAGACCAAAGAAGAATTGAGGATTTTAAAGTCTGGGCAACGAGGAGAACATCTAGTGTCCTTGTTCAACTCGAATGTGCCAGTTAATCACCCGAGACCCCTGAACATGCAGACTCTGGCTGGTTAGGCCTGCGGTGGGGTCTGTGAGGCACCCATGCCACACTAGGTACCTTTGAGGGGGTCAGGAACAGGCCACTGGCTGGGTGTAGCCCTCTAGGAGTGTAGGAGTGAGCATGTGGTGTCTTTGGGTGAAGAAAAGTGTCCCCCTTCCACCAGTGAAGTGTCAGGGCACACAGCTTTGTGAGCACAGTGTGGTGGGTTCTCAGCCCCCCACTTGCCCTTTGACTAATGAACAACCTGCAAAATCCTTCAGAATCACCAACAGAGATGGAGGTCAGAGGTGGGGAGCTCATTTGAAGGCAGGGGATGACTTTAGCCTGTTGTGATGGAGTTTGAGATGACAATGGGACAACCAAGTGAAATGTCCATCTGCTAGCAGTCGAAACCTAGCTGGAGACCTGGACTCTGGTCTGCAGGTTTATTAATGATACACCACACAGGGAAGAAAGCAAGATGGAGGGGTGGAATCAGCTAACCCATGGGCCCTTTTCTGGCGGGTACCACTCTTCTTCCAACAAGTCTGTCCCCTTTTTTGTCTTTCAGGTCACTGTTCCCTTTACTGAACGTAAGTGCTCAAAGCCATTCTTCCACCCTCCAGAAGCTAAATCCCCACCTCGCTGTTCCCTTGGTCACTGGAGGCTCAGAAATCCACATTCACTGGCCAGGATGGCCTCACAGCCAGGGCTTGTCTCTATCCCCTTCATTCAGCCCTGTTAGCCAGGACCAGCCCACTAGTCTGGCCACAGCCTGCAAGGAGCTGCCTCCGGGCTCTCCTTGCCCTTGTCTTCCAAGAGGCCTTGAAGGAAAGAAGAGAGAGGAGGGACAGCCCCAAAAGAAGTGAGAATTTGAGCCTGGGCAGAATCAAGGAGAACTTTTGAGATTTGGGGCCCTGTCCCCATCCAGCCAAGGGCCCTGGGACCATTGGTGTATGTGCCCCTGAGGGCAGTGATAAAGAGCTTGGCCTCTGGGATGAACCAGACCAGTGGAATCCCAGCCCATTAATCTCAGCCCTAGTTCATCACATGTACAGTAGGGATAAGTAATAACTATCCCCAAAGGGTGTTGTGAGGATTGAGTGGGAAACGCCAGGGAGTGCTCGGTACCACCTTGCACAGAGGAAATGCTCAGGCTGCAGAGGCCATCAGTCTGTGTCTTGGAGCCGTGTAGAGGGGAGGTCAGAAGGGAGTAAGGGGGAGGAGCAGGAGAAGAGCACTAGCCGAGAAAGACAGCAAGAACTTTTTGAAACTGGATAGCAGCAGGTCAGAATTAGCATCTTCCTTTCCCTCCAGTAGCTGTCGCCCATACCGGGCGACAGCCTGTCCTGTCTTCAGGAGTCCCTGCCCCTGCTGCTCTCAGATGCCCTCACAGACAGTTCCAAGAAGGCTCTCCTGGACTGGAGGTGAGGCAGCCAGAGCTGTCCTCCCCTTCTGCACGCATCTTTGCAGAGTTTGATGGGGCGTCGGGCGGATGACAGCGGGAACGGTTGTGATCACCGGTGGAATCCTAGCTACGGTGATCCTCCTCTGCATCATTGCGGTCCTGTGCTACTGTAGGCTCCAGGTCAGTCCCCTGGGTCTGTACTAAGGCTGCCAAGCCACCAGCAAGCCACGTGTTCATTAAGGGAGCAGGAACCAGAGGCCCACTTGGGGGCAGACAGAGCTCAAAGCCTGGAATGTGGGACACGTGAGTCAGGGAGGCTGGGAATTGGGGCTATTCAAAGGGGGCTGTGAACCCCCACACCCTGCACCCTTTGGGGTACCCAGAGGGAGTGTGCTGGGAACAGACGGGGTCATTGTGTCTCCTGTGCCTCTGAGGCTCCGGGAGTGGTGGGAAGAGCACCATCGGGGAGACCCTGAGAGCTGCCACCAGCAGCCCCCAGCCCTGTCCTCAACACATCCTTCCGTCTCCGCCTCCCCATCTCTCAACCACAGCCTGGTTAATACACTGAGGAGTAGAGGGAAGGGAAAGGGAAGGAAATACTGACCTGGCAGGGTTGGGTACACACACTTGTAGGACACTTGTGGGACGTGGCCTTGGCTGATCAGTTTTATCTCCAGCACCAACAAAGGGCTGGGCCTTGGGACCCAGTGGAGCAGGGGCATGGGTGCCTGTGTGTGTGCAGAAGTGTGCCCAGCTGAATCCACCCCTTCTCAAGTTCCCCTCTCACCTCCCCCAGTATTACTGCTGCAAGAAGAGCGGAACCGAGGATGCAGACGAGGAGGAGCAGCAGGAGCACGACCTTCCCGCGCACCCCAGAGGACCCAGCTGCAATGCCTGCAGCTCCCAAGCTCTGGACAGCAGAGGTGGCCTGGCGCCCCTCCCTGGAGAGCCTTGCAGCCAGCCATGTGGGGTGGCAGGAAGCCACTGCACCACCTGCTCCCCATACAGCTCCCCCTTTTACATGTGGACGGCTGACATGGTGCCCAATGGGGGTGGAGGCGAGAGGCTCTCCTTTGCCCCCACATACTACAAAGAAGGGGGGCCCCCATCCCTCAAATTGGCAGCGCCCCAGAGTTACCCGGTGACGTGGCCAGGCTCTGGGCGTGAGGCCTTCACCCATCCAAGGGCTATTAGTACGGATGTGTAACCCCCTCCACCTCTGACCCACACACACATCGACACTGCTGCCCAACAGGGGAAGGGGGCGGCGGCAGGTGGCCCTCCAGCAGCCCCACAAGGACCATCTCTGCTTCTTTGGCTTTTCTTGCTCCACAGTAGAGGGCTCACCAGGATTCAAGGTTCTGAGTGCACTGAGATCCAGGACAGGGCTGGCTACAACCCGGTGGCCCACGGATGGGACCTGATAGGTTGAGTCTGCAGCTTTGCCAGTTTCTCAGTTGGGAAATGCCCCGGCAGCCCCAGCACCACCACAACCCTTTCCAGTGCCCCTGAGCCCCTCCCTTTGCTGAGCTGTGAAAAGGAGGGCTAGGGAAAGCTAAGCAAAGGCTCGGGAGGCTTCCAGGTCCTTGGGAGATGAAGTGTCCATGCCTGGAAAAAGGGGGGACAAAGGAGAGAAGAACTAAGACGTTCTAGAATTTGAGAAGCAATGGGAAGGCATGGTTAAAGGCACTTCTTCAAGACTCGCTTGCTAAGATGAGTCCCAGAGCTAATTCACAATCCAGTTTCATACTTGGGGTTACCATAGACACTGCTGTGGTGTAGCTGCTCCCATAATTGAACCTACATGAAGTGAGTCCTGAATATACCACATCTCCATTTGCTCCCTTCCTCATGGAACACTTGAGTAGGCTGTAAAGGCCATGATCTAATGTTATTTGTGGGGATTGCACAAAAAAGGGACCATCTAACCTGATATTCCTGAAAATTCTTTCTCTGCCTTAGGAGTCAGCTGCCCTCTGCTGGAGAAACTTTTGCAAGTTTTGTTGCTAAAATCCTAATAGCTTAGCAAGGAGATCTCAGCAATGGGGTCTGGGCCCTGGCCCAGCACACCGCAGCAGGCCTGGGTGCAGTCCGGTGAGGGCATGTGTGTGTTCCCATCCGCAGGTGTGTACACGCCCACACAGCAGTCCCCACCAGCAGAAACCCGGGGCTTTGCCACTTTCAGGAGCTGCGGAGTGGAAGGGTCTCAGATGTACTACCTAGAAAGAAAAATCTGACCCCCAGATAGCATGAACTGAGGTGATTAACCCGGCAAATCCCATGGCAACCAGCTGGCTGGTGGACGGGAAGAGGGAGGAATCCTCATGAGAGATGCTGCAGCAGTTAAAGCCACGTAAGGTCCTCTAGAGCCTGGTGTTCTAATGGGCATCCACCCATGACGCCATAGAACTGGACTTCAGATTGGAGGGATGTGACACAGCCGTTGGACCCCACACCTGCCAGCTTCCCTCAGTCACCTTCCTCTCCAGTCTCCTGGTGATGGGCCGTTTATTGCTATCTCACTGTAGCCCCCTGTCCCACTCCCACTTAGAACTCAGCAGTGGCCGTAAGCCTTTTGAGTAAGTACATTGTGATGAGCCTTCCAGTTGCCTCTGCAGTGCTGCCCTCTCCTTCTAAAGGCCCAACTCCCGCCCCCCAACTCCTGAGTCACTGAGTGCTCCTGGGCAGGGTGCAGTAAGGAAGCAGGGATGAGGAAGGGAAGGCACACCTTTAGCAGCACCTTATTTGGGCACTCGTCACCTTGCATCTTGATCTGGAATTAAAGTGCCCTGAGTTAAGAAGCAGACAGCCAGGGCTCTAGTCACATTTTAGTCAATTACTAGTTCCAGGACCAGCCACTTATCTTCTCTGAGACTCTGTTTTCTCCAGGGAAATAAGGCTTGTCCAGACAGACTCTAAGGCCCTTAGTGCTCCACAAAGCAAGAACATCCTAAAGAGATCTGCCCGCCAGGCCACCCCCTCCTGCTCTAATCCTGGCAAGAGCTGGATGTATTTAGCTGTCTGGTCCTGTGTGCAGGGATGCTTGTTGAAAGATGAAAGACCACAATAAAACACAAGATTAGCAACCAAACAACTGTAATTGTCAGTGAAAATGCAAACATGTTCGTCTGACCCTCCTGCTGAGTGACCTGAAATGGAAACACCAGGAAGCAGCTCTAAGGTGAGGTAATGAGCTCTGCCTCCCAGTGCAGCTCTAACATACCCCAGCCCAGTCCCCCACTAGCCCTCACTGGGCCAGCTGCAACCCCCCACGGGCTGCTGGGCTGGCAGCGCTCCCCACTTACTGAAAAACCAGCCCCAGTGCCTTGCTCCCCTGGAATCCCCCGGCAGCCATGTCAATATCACCAATCATCTGCTTCTTGCTTCTTGCCCCTGATCTATCAGGGTCCCTGAGTACAAAGCATCCTATGTGATCCTGTTTCCTCCTATAGCTTTCCCAAGCTAAATCCCACCCATCCACAAATCAAAATCAGGGATCAGGGTGATGGAGAGATGGTGGGCCACAGCCCTTCCCCACGTAGCCCAAGTTGCTCAGGGCATGGGCTCCCACCCAGCCTCAAGATGGCCTGTCCACCTTGCTGTAGCCAGACAGGCCTACCCTGTGGAAAAGGAAGCTCCCCTGTTCGAGTGCACTGTTAACTGTGGAGTCTGCTCTGTGGGGCACTATTTGTACGTGTTCCCAACTTCACCATACCCAGGAAGAGGAGGGTAGGGAAATACTGTTCTCTCCACCGTCTTCCTCCATCTCCACTACTCCCGCTATAGATTTCTTGTCTTGCATCTTTGATAACTTAGAGTGGCAACCAAGTGAATGTCAGAATAAACGAAGAATTTGAAATACAAATCCCTCAGGGTCTTTTATGGTTCAACTGGGAGGGGGCGGTTGGACATGGATTTGAGAGTGAATATTGCCTTTCAGTGTCCTGACGTTCATTTCCAACACCAAAATCTACCAGCTTCCTGTCCCCTCCTGCTTACACAGCACCGAATCTATTCCATGTTGTTGCCAGGTACTCAACACGTCAAGGGAAGATTGTTGTTTGTTAGGAAAGAAGATGTAAAGTGTATTTGCTGCTGTCCCCGGAGGGGAAGTGGCCCTTCTGGGACAGGCTCCCTTACCTTCTGGGCCTGAAATTTTCCCCACCTGTGTAGCTCTGGGTCAAATCAACTCTCTGTGGTCTTGGGAGACTCTTGAGCATCTCAAGAGGATGGGACCATCCTCAGCTCAGACCCTAGCAGTGCATAACAGGAGAGGTGTGGAAGAGGGGCTGGAAAACCAGGAAATAGCTTCGTGTGTGGAAGGGGAGAAAGTGTGTGCGTATGTGTGTGTGTGTGTGTGTGCAAGTGCATGCATGCACACACACGCACGCACATGAGACATACACACACACACATACGTGCTCTCTTCCCACCTCAGGGCCACAGCAAGCCCTGACTACAGGCATCAGGCAGCCTGACATAAGCAGTTCACAGCCCAGACCCCTGGTCCTTCCCTAGTCTCACTGGGGGCACAGTTTCATCCCCAGCCCAGGGAGCAGCTGGCAGCAATTCTGGCACCACAGGTGTCCTCTGGGAACAGAAACTGGGTCCTGAGGCAAATCTCATCACTGCCCGCAGCCCACCTTCAGCCTCCCACCCGACACTCAGTACACCTTTTGGCCTCAGGCTGGGTGGCAGGCTCTTCTCCCCAGTAGCCTTTGACCTCCCTGAGCCTCAGAAACAGCAGTCAAGGGGGAGACTGTCACCCCAATACCCATGGGCTCTCTGACTGACAGGTCTGCACTAGATACCACCAGTGCATCATCCAACCCAGGTCCCCAAACCCTGTCCGTGGGGTTTTTGCAGGGACTTTAAGGAGAAGCTTCTTACACCATAAAAACTTCTCACCCAGTTTTCTACACCCAAGTTTGCAAGAGCTGCTCCGAGGCCACTAATTATTTCCAGGGGTTGATAAACATCTGAGACTCCCAGGACAGCACAGCAGCAAGAAAAGGTACGACCAGGAGTGCCCTCCAGCCTGCTCAGAAGGCAAATGGCCCACACTCCTCTTACCTCAACCTCTGACTGAAGCATTGCCCAGACAACAGTGACAGGGACAGCCGGCACCGCACCCTCACCTGCCCTCCTCAGTCTGGTTCAGGCTGCTCCTCCACGCCTCTCCCTGTCTGGCCCCTCCATCCACATTGACATCCACCCTAATCCCAGTGGCCACTATTCCTCCATGCCCATCATTTCCCCAGGGCAGAGCCCACTGGTACACGATCTCTCAGAACATACAGTCATGCGACACAAAACCCAGGTTTCTGGATGCCTATACAGCGGGCCTCAGGACACTCCCCAGCCACCCCATCCTCCAGCCCACCCCACAGTACCCTCCACATAGCTGGCATGGTGCTGGGAACAGTGGGGTGGGGGCAGCCCTTGGGCCACAAAGCCAGCACCTCCTTTCTCCGCGTGGGCTTGCCCCAGCAGACCCAGCAGCGTAGCTGTGGTAGTTAAAGCAAAGGATTTCAAAGATGACTTCAGTTTGAGTCCTGGGTCTAGAGTCATACACTTGCTGTGTGACTTTGGGCAACTTCTCGGACCTCTTAATGTCTCAGTTTCCTCATCTATAAAATTAGAATCATAAAATCATAATGCCCAGCTCTCTCTTCTCCTCCACTCTCTTTCCTTCCTTCTCCTCTTCACTCTCCTCTTTGCTCTCCTCTTTTTCTCTGCTCTTTTCTCTCCTTCTAGTGCTGCTCTGCAGCCTCCCTCCCCCACCAATAAAGACCTTTTGTACAAAAAAAAAAAAAATCATAATGCCCAGCTTTTTTTTCTTTTAAGACAGAATCTCACACTGGGTAGAGTGCATGACATCATCATAGCTCACAGCAACCTCAAGCTCCTGGTCTCAAGTATCCTCCTGCTTCAGCCTCCCAAGTAGCTGGGATGACAGGCGCCCACCACCATGCCTAGCTAATTTTTCTATTTTTAGTAAAGATGGGGGTCTCACTCTTGCTCTGGCTTGTAGGAGACGCCAAGAGCCAGATGACATCCGAGCAAGATGATCTGCAGCTGAGGCGTGGACCTCGGGCCATTCCTCCACAGGAGTTCCTTGTGGGAAGAGCCCGTGCCCTCAGCCCATAGTCATTGTTAATTACTCCCCTCACCTGTGTTGTTCTGGCTCAATAAAAGGCTGGTGCGGAAAGTAAGGGCTAGCCCGTCTTCTACAAGCTTGTACCTCTAATCTGCCTCTCGCCTGGTTTCTTCCTGTGCTAACTG